GAATTCCAAAATCTCTGTGGATGTTCACTGAAATTAATAATATATAAAAAATGGTGCATTCTGAGGATTTAGGTTTCAATTAGCAGGGCACCTTCTGTAAAAAGCCCAATTTGAAGCGTTACTTGCCAAAAGTTCACATCTTTTCAATTTGTATAAGAAACTTCAAAGTGATGTGGTTTACTTATTATAAAATCATGAGGCATATATCCAATCAACTGACAGATATTTAATGATTGCTGGAGGGTGTGTTGCATTTAGTTGTTGAGGCACAAAGATCAATAGGGAGGATTTCCTGTGCTAGTGTGGAGAACCAGGCATCAATCACAATGCAGAAGGGTCTCATCATGCAAGAAGGCTGCCCAAAGCTTGTGTGGTGAGCTGAGCGAGGAGGGCATTGCAAAGCAGGGCAGCAGGGCATATGCAGGCAGAGCAGTTGGGGAAACCCTGGGAGGTTAAAGGTCAGAATGCTTGGGAGGAATAGCTAGACACTCATCCTCCCTGAGGCTGTCACTGGGAAAGATAGGCTGAGATCTGGAGGCAAGAAACAGGCATGTGTACCAAACATCTTCTCTGTGCCAGATCTGAACAAGAGGTAGAGGGGAGCAGCACACATGTAACTGAGTGTCTGCTCCAGGATGGGTGTACTATTCAGAGGGACAATGACATGTCAGGTGTTAAGTGATTCCACATCTTCCAACACCCACCTGTGTCCTTTCTCATTCCCCAAAGCTAGAGCTGAGGCATCCAGGAGCCTTGGTCCTTGGTGGGGGGTGGGGCAGTGTCCAATGGGGATGTGTCTCTAGAGATAACATCCATAGCATAGGAGTTGGGATTGCACACCCTGTTCTATTTTTTAACATAGTCTTCTATCACCTCCAGACTGTTTTCTTCACCCTCTTAACTCAAAGTCCTTGGGTCAGGTACTTAAGGAAGGAGAGCTCAAAAGGCCTGGTTTCAGATGCAGAGAAGGGGCAGAGTAGGGCCTTAAGCGGCTATGGGCACTTTTGAGGGAGCTCTGTCAAGGCCAGGGGCCTCAGTCAGGTCCATGAAGTGTAGGGCTGGAGATGCGGATGCCTGGTCCAGAAGGAGGGAGGGGGCAATGGGCAAAGGGGTCAGGCCAAGGGAGCAGGCGGGGCAGTGGAAGTAGAGGGCGCTGGGTGGTGGTGGGAGGGAGAGGGGTCCGGTGCAGAGGTGGGGGGCGGCCCCTGGGGAGGGGCACGCTATGTCTTTAAGAGCTGCCTGAGCGCAGGTTGCAGCTGCCTGGCCAGCCCAAGAGACAGCGGAGATTCATTACCCACCGACACAATGACCATTGATGGCCCCGTGGCGTTATTCAAATCCAGTACCAATTGCAGCCGAGCCCCTTTCTCCGCGCCAGGGCCGTATTGTTGGAGCGCCCACTAAAAGCCCGCCCCGGCCCCTAGCCGCCAGAGGCGCCCGCTCGGGTTCAGCCCTGCGCCTCGCCAGCCAGCCCGACTCCCAGCCCGGCTCCCCGGGCACTGCAGGTGACCCGGCAGCGCATTCCAGCGCTCCCCCACCACCGGGGCCATCGCCACCGCCAGCCACCGCCACCCCAGGCACCCTGGCCGGGACTCGTCTACAGGGAAGCGGAAAGCACCCGAGCTGGAGCTGGTGCGTGCGCGGGGCTGGGCGGGGGCGGAATACCCAAGAGTCCAGCAGTCCAGACCCCTGGGCTTGTAAACGCTCCCTGGTCTGGGTCCCCGCTTTCGGGATTCCCAGTGAGCTGCAGGAGTCTAGGCTGGGGGGGGGAGAGGGGTGTCTGGGTTTCCTGGGCCTGACAGAGGAGGGTCCCCCTGACCTGAGGCCGTATAGAGACCTTCCAGGCAACTCTGGGGACCCTGGCCCGTGATCGATGGCAACACACACTAGGGGTGATGGGGATGCCTGTGCGGGGTTGAGATTCGCGTGATGTGCTTGTTCACCTTACCGCGGGATGGGCCGTGACCGCTGAGCGTCTGGGAGGTAGTCGGACACACGTCTCCAGAGATCTTCTGATCCAGTGGTTTTAAGAAGTACAATGCAACCCCACACAGAAAATTGGGGCCTTAACTCCGGAGCTTCGCCGCTGATTGTCCAAACGCAATTCTTGTACGAGTCTGCGGCCAACCGAGAATTGTGGCTGGACATCTGTGGCTGAACTCCACATGCAACAGGGGTGGGGGTCGGCAAGGACCCAGCTCTGTGCCAGCAAGATCCCTCAGGAGGCAGCATATTGGCCTCAGGCCTCGGCTAGGACTTTGGCCCCAGCCGGCCTGAGTGGGTGTACAGAGGAAGCGCACAGACGAGGACGCTGAGCCCTGACGCCATCCTCCTCCTCCTCCTCCACGGTCCCAGCTCCTGCAGCACTCCAGACAATCAAGTCATTCGTCCCCCTTTCAAATTTCGGCTTAAGGGAAGCTGGCACATAGCAGGGGTCCGAACGTGGTCGGTCAGCTCACCCTGAGCCAAAGCCGAGCTGCAGAAGATGTCGGCGCTGACTGCGCCTGGCTAATTCGTTTGGAATAGGTTCTCACCTCTTCCCTCACCAATATGCCCAAATGACAACAACCAAAATGCGTAAACCAACCCCTAAGTTCCCTGCAAACTGACCCCTCCCGTCAGCCCCTCCAGACCCAATGATGGACTGGCGGCTTCAGCCGTGGAGCCTGCGAGGAGTCGGGAATTAGGCGCTCCAGTTGGGCAGTCGCCTCAGCTTTGGAAATAGAACTTCAACAAATCCTTTTCATTAAAGAAGTATCTTCAGAATTAGTGGGGTTTATTTATGCGTTCATTTCCTCAAAAGCAGGGGTAATGGCCAACTCACCAGGAGGTGCCTGAGGGAGGGAGCAGTTGGGAACTGCTGAGGGCCAACGTGTGTCACCACCTGTCTGACTCTCCTCCAACCTTGGGTTTGTCTTGAAAATGCCTGAAATGGTCCTGAGTGACCCACTAGGGCCTTGTCTATTTGGGATGCCGGGCAGCATCCCCATTCCCAGCCAGGCTGAGGGCTGAGTTTTTTCCACTCCATCCTCCTGCCCTACTCTCAGAATTAATTGGGGTACCCGGCAGGAAGGGAGGAAGGGCTTAGCCTTTACTGAGGGGAAAGGCATGCTAGCCGCTGGTTTTCAGAACCAGGAATCCTAGGTGGGTGATGGGCCACAGATACAGCTCAAGGGGGCTGAGAGGCCAGGGAGGGACTTCCAGGTTATAAGAATCTGGATCGATGATCCTCTAAAATGTTGCCATAGGAGGCCACTCAAATTTCTGCTCTGTGTCATAAGGCAGAAACGCTAACCTGAGCATCTAATTAGGGCTGGCCATACAGCCTCTCTGGACAGCACTGGCCACAGGTCTGAATCGACACCCTGACGAGCTCCTAGCCAAGTTGCAACATGGCTGCCCCCATCAGCACCTGCATTAAGGGTCTGCACTAACAGCAGGGCTGGGAATTATGCGCCCCCCACAAGAAGAGGAAACCATTTGGCACTGTCATCTAAAGCGTGTGAAGAATTTCACCTTAAATCACTGACATTTAACGAAAAACAACGTTTTAAGCGGGATGATATTAAGGCTCTAATTTTTTTTTTTTTTAAATTTCGGGGTTGTTTTTTGTTTTGTTTTTTTTTTTAGGTTTCTCTCCAGCAAACAAAGCTTTTTATCCTGAGGTCAAAGGAAGGAAACAAGGCTCAAGAGCTTCATCTTTGTCACCCCATTCTGGGTACTGGGGCTGCAGCCTGTAAGGCCGAGGCATGCCCTAGGACTGGCTAATCAGCACAGCAGGGCCTGCAGGCCCCTCTCTCCAGACAATGTCCACCTGGCAACTCCTTCCTGGACTGTCTGGGTTGCCACCCCCACCCTTTTTCAGGGTGAAGGGCAGCTCTGAGAGCCCTAGGCTGAGAATAGAAGGGCTACACCAGAACCATGGATGGGGAATAGGGGGTGCCTGTTTCTAAGGATGAGGCTCCAGTTAGGACTAGTAAACAAGTTATTTATTTGCCATGGCCAGCTGTTGCAGGCACAGAGACCCAAGAATTCCAGAAGGGATACAGGTAGGAGGGGTAAGTGGCACTGCCTGTCCCCACCCTACTTTCAGCAAGGAGGTGAGAAGGGAGATAGTATTCATTTGTGCCACTAGGAAGCCTCCCCTAATTTTCATATGAGCTGCTCTGTAACTATATATAACTCTATATTGTTGGAGAAGAGGAAATTCAGTCACACCTAACTCTCCAGGCTTCGATCTGCTGGCCCAAGTTTAAACTACAACCCCCCCCCCCCCCATGAGGGGCCTTTTGCTGGGGGAAGGTCTTAGGAGCCCATCTGGTGGCCTGTGTGGGGTGAGGCAAGCCAGGGTCAAGGGCTGGGGGTGGAGGGAGCAAGAGGAGGGGTGTGGTTGGAAGAGCAGCTGCTGAGTGGGTGGGGAGGGGGTCAGCACTGAATAAGGGACCCCAGCTGGGGTTCCATAATGATATCAGTGGGGGACAGGCAGAGCCCTCCGCTGTCCAGATGGGGAAACTGAGGTGGAGACTCCTCTGATCTCTGAGAAGAAAGGGGCTTCCATCAGTTCTTCATGTCCACTCATCTTTCCCACGAAGACACCGTGGCCTGGAGAGTGGTCACTCCACATTTAGGCTGAGACACAGAAGTGGAGAGAGCAAGGCTTGTTCTTAGGACCCCACTGCAGCTGGATATTCTGGCCACTGGAGCTGGAGAGCCCTCTCCACTTCTGAGACACCCAGGGGACACCCCCCCCCCCCTCAGCTGCTGGAAGAGGGAGTGCTGGGCTCAGGCGCCTGCCTGCCTGCCTTCCTTCCTTCCCCTGCTCACGTGTCTGAGAAAGGCTCATTTTTAGCACCTGGCCTCCTTTCTCTGCCTGGAGGAAGCTCAGGGGATAGAGCAGGAAAGAAAGCAGCCAAGGGGAATAGGGAGATTTGGAAGCTGGGCTCAAGGGGACTCTGACTGTTCTCCTCACCCAAAGGTACCCCAGGCACAGAGAGGGGCTCTTAGCCTCCATGCAATGTGGATATGAAGAGGACGCTGTCCTGGTCCTGAAGCTGGTAGTCCAGCTCACCCTGGTCCGAAAGAAAGGGAGAGAAAAGGGACATACATCAGGGCACTTTTCCAATTTCTCCCCCTAAATATTGGAGGGGAAGAAAGGGGAGCGGGGGCATAGCTGCTCTGGGAGAAAAAGAGACTGCTAGAAAAATGGGTACTCTACATGTTAACTTAGAAATCTCTAGGATGGAGAGTGCATATCTTCCCCTAGCCAGCTATCCACTCCTTCCTTACTTGGGGGTGAGGGACTTGGGCCACCTCAGTCTGGGGACTACACTGGGGCAGGGGATTACCCAGCCATGCAATGAGAGGCCCAATGGTCTCCTGCTGAAACAAGAGGGTAGGGACTGGGGGAGACCTGACCTGAGGTACTGACCAGCAGTTCCCAGTCGGCATCGTTGACAAGCACCAGAATTCCTGGCCGCCTGCAGGAAAGAGGTTAGTGAATAGCAAGGAGAGAAGGGCTGGAGGTGATCACAGAAGCGGTATGTCTTAGACTCTGAGTTGCAGGACAGTGTGGTAGGCAGTGTTTCCTTCTGAGGAGTTAAAGATCTAATCTAAATTCTAGAACCACCACCAGATCATGAAACCAAAGTACTTTTTTGATTTGGGGTTGTTTTTTTTGGGGGGGGGGCAAGGTACTTTTTTCACTGAGCATTCCCTTCCTCTTCTGCAATCACTGCCTTTTATAGTGTCTTCTGTACAAAACCTGGGAAAGGCTGGGTTGTGACAACACTTGTGAAGCATTTGTTTGCTTCTACATGTGTCATGGTAATTATGAGTACACAGCAGCATGTCATATCATGTGAGTGGTCTGACTACCCTCCTTGGTGCTAGAAACAAATTTTGGCTTCTAGGCATTCTGTGTGTCTACTCTGGAGGAAGTGATCTTGGCTTTCCTGGAACAGGGAAGGCCGCCAGTCGCACCAAGAACCTGAATGCTACAAAGCAACCCTGTCTGGCATGGAGAGGCCAGCCAATATTTGGCTGGGCATCCTGGTCAAGCTTTTACTGGCATGGAATCAAGGAGCACAGTTGTTCCTGGTGGTGAGCCATGAGGATTACTGGACCATTAACAGAACCAGGAGCTCCTGTTTACCAGATTCACTAGTGACCTACACTTCCAGGCATGTAACTGGGTCTACTAACAGCTCTTCACATTTTTTTTAACATATTAAAGCTGGCCTTGTTTTATAAATAAAGTGACTTGTTGGCACTTAGAGTCTGGTTCCTTTCTCAGTAGTTTTGGCTTGGCCTGGGACAGGTATAGAAGTTTTGAACTGGGGGTAGGGGTGTCCACAAATGTGGTTGTATGCATGCAGCATGTACATGTGCACACAGTGACTCCCTGGAATCCTAGACCTGTCCAGTTAATATGTAGACACTAGTCCCACATGGCCATTTAAGTTAAAATGGAATAAAATAAAATTTTTATTTAAAACTTTATTTTTGAGTGAAAGTTCAAAAATAATATTGGTTTTTCATTCACTTATTCATATACATTTTGTTTTATAACATTAATTACAATTCATTAATGTGATGTTATTAATTACAATGCATGATCAATCCCTTAAAACATATTGTCTTTCCTTTGATCCAATTTATTGACTTAAAAGGGAAAATTCAATTGCTCAGCCACACTGACCATATTTTAATGACTCAATACCCCTACCCAATATAGTAGCAAAAGACTACCATGTTGAATAGCAGAGATACAGACCACCTTCACCATTACAGAACATTCTGCTGCATGGCACTGTTATAGACTGTTAAGAAATAAAAGAGTTCTGGGGGAGCTCTGGTGGTCTAGTGGCAAGGAGCTGCAACTACAATCCCAGAGGCACACGATTCGAATCCACCAGATGCTCTGCCGGGGAAGGAGGGACAATCTCCTCCTGTACCAGTCAGATCTGATTTGATGGTACACTCACACAAAAATAATAAAATAAAAAAATAAAAGAAAAAAGAAATAAAAGAGTTCTGGAGCAGTGTCTTTTCTCAGTACTTACAGTGTGGGGAGAATAAATGAGGCTCGAAGATAGGAAGTAATTTACCTAAGCAATTTTCTACAGAAAGTTTGAGGCCACAAGAAGGTGGAATCCAAGGTATTTTTGAGAAATTTACCAATTTCACCTGGGTTTTTAAAAAATTTTCCAACAACCCAGTGTGGTAAATGACCTAGATCTAAGCTGTATGGAAGCTGTTTTTTCAGAGAGGTGAGGGGTGAACAGCACACGGAGAAGGCTGAGGAGGACTAGAGGATGGTGGCTCAAATGTCCTTCCTTCCCACCCATCTCCCCTTCAGGGAAGGAAATAAAGGTACTCACACACTGTCTCCTTGGATGAACAACTCCGGGCGTTCTTTTAGCAAATTCTTCTTGATCCAAATGAGGAGGTTTCGAATGTCCCCTGGTGAAGAAAGCACAGGACAAACTATAGTTAGTCTCAAATGATTCCTGGCCCCTAGAATCTTGCCAGGACCATAAGGAAGTAAATATGCGAACTCAGAGGGCCTCCCATACACCAAGTCCATGAACTTATGGATTCCCAAGGTGAGAACATGAATTAACAGAGGCCAGTGACCCGCCTGTAAGGTCTTTACAGCAAAGTGGCACCTAGCAATGCTGATGGCTTGAACAAAGAGATGGTGGCATTTACCTAGAGGAGGAGGACTCAAGACAGACAGGAGAAGGAACTGGCAAACTTGAAGGGGGTTGGGAAACAGACTCTCCAAAAACTGCCACAGATAGACTGTGAGAGGCCTAGAAAAAAAACCCCTCCATCTTTATCTCTCCAGGCAGTCCCAGATGAGAAGGATTCAGCTCTGCTCTTGGAGGGGTCTGCATACATTTCCCTTTGTGAGGGAAGAAAAACAATTGCTAGGCCGATAGCATCAGTTAATTTCCTCTGGCAGAGAGAGAGAAGCAAGCGAGAGGCTCCTTTACCAGTGATGCTGACAAATCACTGCTCCTTCCCTCCCCTTTTCCCTGTACCCTCCAGACCTAGGGCGGTCACCCTGAAGCTCTCCCTGGAGAAGCAAGTAACTCAGGGTCAAAAGTGCCTCTCCAGTTTAGCAGAACCCTGTTGTCTTTATAGTTCTGGGACAGCCAGAACCTCTACAGCCAGACAATCTCTACACGATACAGAGGCTGACATCCCTGTCTATGGGGTGACCTTTCTTTGGTCTAAAGGACTCCCTTCCCAAGAGCTAGATTCCCGAGTCACAGCATTTTCAGATCTGGTTCCACAAATTCCTGAAAGCCTATGGCTTTCAACAATGTGCTTCTTAAATAGGCTGTTCTCTTGAGACGGCTGGAGTTCTTGGCCTTAGAGACTTTTGGGTATTGAAAACCTGAGGAGACAACCAACTCTGGGAAGTCAGTAGAGGCTTGGGGTTAACCACCCATTCTCCTGAGTCAGGATCTCCGAGGTGCCTGCTGTCAGAGAACCATGGCTGAAACAAAGCCCAGAGATACATGGGAGAATGTGCCAGGCTATGTGTTGGTGTTGGTTTTCTGCCTAGATATCACAAGACTTTGGAGTGTGGCAAAGGCCAGGCTGTGGATGTGCAGGCCCTCCACAGCTCTGCTTCCAGTTTAGCCCCAGATGGGGCACTTGTACCAGACAGTGCTCAAAGCACTCTCAACGGGCTCAGGGCCACCCCTGGGCAGGCAGGTGGCTGTACTGTTGGGTCTGCATCCTGGATGGACCACTGCCCTTTGCTTGGTGCCAACCTTCCTGGACCATATGCCAGCACAGCACAGGATGACAGACAAAGTGTAACAGACGGACTTGTTGTCCTTCAATCTTAATTTCTACTTGTGAACAAAGCAGATTGGGCTCTTCAGTCCATGGAGCAGGCAGGATGGGAATACTGCATCCATCTACTACTTTCCACTTGTGGACTCCTGGCTGGGCTCCCCCTACAGGCCTAGGTTTCAGAGGTTCCCCTTTGGCTCTGGCTCCTCTCGGCCTCCATCTTGGCACTGTCTGGTGGGCTGCTAGCTCATACATCTTATAGCCGCTCGATCGAGCTGCTGGGGCCTGACACATCCATCAGCAGCTCTTGGCGGGCAGATTGTGCCTGAATGTGCAGAGGCAATGAGAGGGACTGGGGGGTACCTGGCCAGAAAGTCAACAGCTCTACCTCTATAGTTATGCATGGCTGTATAAAGGCAGGACTCCATTCAGTTAGTAGTCCTGGCTTTCTTTAAAAGGAGATTTCTGCTCCACTCCGTGTAGGACTGGGATGGTGGGAAGGAGGGCTAGTGGTCATCCAAGTGTTGGTACCATCATGGAGTCCCAGAGGGATGGGGTGGGGGTGAGCCTGCTGCTGGCTCATTTATCATGATGCTCCTATTTGCTGAGGTCACTCCCTCCTCCTTTGCCCCTATCCTCAAAAGGCCTGCCCACATTCTTGATAGCCTGTTACCATGGTGAGGCTACTGCATCACCCCTGTATTGTTCCCCCATGCCTGGATTTGGGGGTGGGGAGAGTGGAACTCATGACTCCCTTTGCAGACTGCAAGGGGCACTTGGCCTGGCCTGAAACACATCCCCAGGGACCTCTTGCTAGGCTTGTTGAGGCCCAGACAATATGCAAATAGCTTCTAAGCCAGATGGCTTCCGGAGGCCCAGGGGAGGAGGAAGGGTTAAGCAGTCAGGGGCCAGTGGATGACTCTGGGATGGATGGGGCTGGGGAATCTCACTTTCACCTTGCTCCTCTGTGTCTAGACTTCTCATTCCTACTGAGCGTGATCTCCTAGGGCCTCATACAATTGTTCACAGAACAAGTGTTTATTGAGCAACTACTAGGTACTAGTTAGGTACCAGAGAGATGGTGATAAGGCTGTCACGTCCCTCAAAGAGCTTGTCAACAGAGGGGAATAATATTCAGTTATTTAATTACTTGTGATATATGCTATAAAAAACATTCAAGAGACTGTGAAAGTGTTTACCAAGAGATTGCCTTTGGTCTGCAATCAGGAAAAGCTTTTATGAATGTTCATATTGAAAATGAGGCCTGAGGATGAATGGGGTGGGATGAGTCAGAAGGCATTCCGGGCAGAAGGAAGAGCATATGGGAAGACCAGAGGCAGGATGGAACTGCCAGGTTCAAGACACTGGGACAGAGCGGCAAGATGATCAGCATGAGATGTGGACAGAACAGCAACGAGGGACCAGACTGTGCAGGGCCTTGAAGGCCTTGTGAAGGAACAGATTTTGGAAGAGGCCTCTACTTCCTCCTGAACGTCAGGACCATCTCCTACATGACTTCTCTCTGGGTGTTGAGTCCACACCACCCAGGCTTGTGCTCCTGTGTGTCTATGCCTTGATTTTGAGTTAAATTCTATCAGTGCTTTAGCCAAAGACATATGACCTCAAGTAAAGAAATCTCTCTAGGCCTTATTTCCTTTTTTATCAAACAGAAATGGTAAAAATGACTCTTAGGTTGTGAGGATCAAATGAGGGTTCACCTCAAGGATGAAACTATTCCATGACCTGGAGGAGGAACCTGTACTCTGTGCTCTTCCCTGGCACCCTGAGTTTCCACATACAGGGCCCCTGTAGACAGGCTCAGACAGCTTGGGAGAGTGGCATACAGTCAGGCACTAATCTCAGTTTTCTGTGGAGTACATGACCTTGCCACCAGAAGCTAGGGAGAGAATGGGTGATCAGGAGACAATGGCTCTTACTCTATTTTAGATATTTAGATCTATCAGATGTCTGGGTTTGGCTCATAGGGCAGACAGTCTAGGCCACAAGGTCCCTAGACCAGAAACAGCAGAGGAAGGAGATGATAATGCTGATCTAAAGTTCCTGGTGCAGGCAGCCTTGGGATCTGGACAGGTCATTTGGGGAGAAGGAGGTAACAGGATTTGCTGTTCTACAAAGGAGCAGAGATTCTGGAGTTAGAATGACCTGGGCTGTGTGATGGATGGCCTTTAGCAAGAAGCCATCTCACCTCTCTCAGTCTCATCTGAAAAATGGAAATAAGAATATGAATCCAAAAAAAAAGAAAAAAAAAGAATATGAATCCCAAAAAGTTGTCGTGAAGCAGCATGCCCAGCATAATGTCAAACACACGATGTGCTTAATAGATGGAAGCTTTGAGCTGTCCACACATAGTGATTTTGGATTCTCCAGTCTCTCCATGCCAGCCTCTCTTAAAAGCTGCTGGCAGAGAGGCATCATGGCATGTGCATTTTTTTATTTTTATCTTATTTTTATTATTATTTTTTGTGTGTACCATCAAATCAGATTTGACTGGTACAGGAAGAGATTGTTCCTCCTTCTCCAGCAAAGCATCTGGTGGATTTGAACCGCACACCTCTGGGATTTACAGTGTAGCTTCTTGCCACTAAGCCACCAGAGCTTGCCGGCATGCGCATTTTAAAGAGCAGCTACAGAAGCTTCCACCAGAACCCCTGGCCCCAGTGGACTTGTTCTTGTCTGGTAGATACCACCTATCAACTGGGGCAGAGCCCTCAAGGAGGTTAAGTCCTAGTGTTTTGGGGCTTGAGGGAATAACCTAGAGGTTCTTCTTGAATCCCCACTACAACAGATCTATGAGTAAGCTCTCATCAAACCTCTCCTTGAATATCTCTAGGAACGGAGAGGTCAACACCCCTATGGAGTAGCTCTGACAGCTAAGAACTCTTCTATCCCAAGCAGAAACTCTGTGTTCCCATCATTTCTACCCACTGGGAAAAGTTGGGCCATGTGGAACACACCAATAAACGTGTCCCTTCTTCCTTATTAGTTCTTCAGATTTGGGATAGAGACTGATCCCTTAAACCTTCCTTTCCCTCAGTTAAAGCGCCCATCCCACCAAGTCCACCAGGCTCCAAGGCAGGGCTCTTCTGGGAGCTCACCCCAGGCCTTAGTTGAAAGGGAGAAGAAAGAGCTGGGATAGCAGAGTAGGAGAGAAGAGGGGGTGGAGAGAACATCAGAGGGTGCATTTACAAGTGAATGGGGGTAAGAATGGAGCAGTTTGTGGGCTAAACTGGCCTCAGAAGGAGGTTTACAGATGTGCGAGGGGACGCTCCTCATTGTTTAATTAAGCAGAAAGTGGATCTTTTCAAAAGCAATTTTGCACAGGGCTGGGAGGTGGGAGGGGGGCAAAGGAGGGAGGTAGGGAGGGGATCAGCAAACAGACACTGAGAGTAGAGAAAGGAACAGCTGGCCCCAGAGAGGCTGTGGGGAGCATGCTAAGCAGTTTAAAGCGCCCAGTAGCTCCTGCCCTCCCCCACCAGCCACTCTTTAATGTAAGCAAAGCTGACAGAGGTCACACAATGGTGGAGCAGAGAAAGGTGAGGTGGATACCTGTCTTGGGGGGCCAGGGCAGGTAGTGCCCTCTGCTGGGATAGTCTACCCTTCATGGTTTTGGATTTGCTTCAGACAATCCA